CCTGCAAAGCTGTCATTTAGAATCGATGGACATATAAAGAGTTTCCCAGACAAGGAAAAGCTAAAGGAGTTCATCACCCCCAAACCAGTATTATCTGAAGTGTTGAAGGGTCTTCTTGAAGGAGAAGTACAAAAATATGAACAATAAAATGGCAATAAGTGCATATCAACAATTGAATCCACAAACAAAATGAGCAAGCAGAACAGAAACAGACTCAGATACAGACAACTTTTTGTTGCTTGCCACATGGTGAGGGGGGGGTTGGGGGGATGGGTGAAGAAGATGAAGGAATTAAGAAGTATGAATTGGTTGTTAGACTGATAAATCTTAAAGGGAAGAGGGGAGGAAGGGTGGGAAGAGATAAACCAAAGAACTTTTATGCATATATGCATAACCCATGGACACAAATAATAGCATGGGGAAGACAGGAGGGGATGGGATGGGAGGGGAGGGGGTCAATGGGGGAAAAAAAGGAGGACATCTGTAGTACATTCAACAGTAAAGATAAGTTTAAATAAAAATAATAATAATAATCATTGTGAATTTAGTAAACTTAAGTGATCTGTGTGTTTGACTCTCACCAGGAAATGGCCTAACAGCAGCAGCAGCAATAGCATTTAGCCTAGCACCAGATTCTGATCTATAATAGTAGTCTCCACTGAAAGGGAACAGGATTTCTTGGATAGCAATGTAGTCCATGCCTTGAGATAGAAAACAATCAGGATGGATCTGGAACACTTCTTTGTTGCCGGACAGTAAGAATACTTTCAAGAATATCCATGCCCTGGCTGGTTTGGCTCAGCGGTTGGAGTGTTGACCTGTGGTCCAGAGAGACTCGGGTTCAGTTCCCGCTAAGGGCGCGTACCTCGGTTGCAGTTTCTCTCTCTCTCTTCCTCTCTCTCCCTCCCACTCTATCTGAACAACAACAACAACAAAAAGAATATCCACAGCAGTTTGGTTTGTTTGTTTGTTTTGAAAAAGAGCCAGCTCAAGCGGTTCCCACTGGCCAAGTTAGAACATTTTGAGTATCAATAATAACTAATTGTAATGAATTATTACAAAGACAGGAGTTCATAATACTCAAAAGAGTAAAATGAATGTATAGAAAAAAATAATTCAAATATAAACCAGTGAATACATATTTAATGCCTTATTGATGTTAAGAAGCCAGAGTATTGACATATAGGTATTTGCTGATAAAGTATAGATTATATTCTTGTTCCTGTATGTATAAACAGGAAGGAATGAAAACAAAACTGGTGAGAGCTAAATGAAGACAGCAGAAACTGAACCAAGAGTAGGAAGAATGAGCCATACTTATAGTCTCACATTATAATCAGGTAGAAGGGGAGTCCAGCAACCAGCTAGCATTGGTCATAAATAAATCAACTGAGAGAAGGCCTAATAATAGGTTTCAAGATTATATATTATCCAAATCCCCAGAATTTGAAATTTGAAGTTAAGTCCTCAAGGGAATGAAACGAGCTGAAATCATGAACCTCATGATGTAACAAGTAAAGTTTTGTTATTAAAAAAAAAAATCAACCCCAGCTGGTGTGCTCAGTGGACTGAGCATGGCCCCATGGACTGAGAGGTCCTGGTTTGATTCCTGGTCAGAGCACATGCCTGGGTTGTGGGCTTGATCCCTAGTAGGGGTCATGCAGGAGGCAGCCGATCTCTTGTCGATGTATCTTTCTCTCCCTCTTCCTTCCTCTCTCTGAAATTAATGAAAACATATATATATTTTTTTTAAAAAGGTGATGGTGGGGGCTCACCTTAAGGTTCAAGGCTCTGAATTACATTGGCCTGTAGAGCCAGGTTACACATCCCCACCAGGAAGCTAATAGTTGGTTAACAAGATCCCGCAACTCAGCTGGACTCTTCTTGCATCCAATTAATAAACTGAATGTCCAGAAAGATATAAAACTACCTAAACATGCAATCTTAGAATAATAAGTGTAAGCTGAAATACTAACACTCATGTCCTATTTATGTGTAAATATTCGTATTGTAATAATAATGTGGGGTTTCTGCTGCTTCAGGTGTTTAAAACAGCCAAGAGAATAAGATATATTGGACTTGTGATTTTAATTAAATGTTTCAGTCTTTTATTAAATTAGCAATATTTAAATGTTCAGAGAAATTTATTGATGCCACACACTTGAATTGTTTAGTTATCTAAGTAGATTAATAAATTGGGCATTAAACAAAGTACAAATAAAATTATTTCACTTCTTACTGAAAAGCCCTTCTGACATTTACAAAACAACAACAAAAAGTCTTGGCCAGTGTGGCTCAGTTTTTTGAGCATCATCCAGTGCACCAAAAGGCCACGGGTTCAATTCCCTGTCAGGGCACATACCTAGATTGCAGGTTCAACCCCTGGTCAGGGTGTGTGCAGGAGGCAGCCCATAGATGTTTCTTTCTCACATCGATGTTTCTCTCTCACTCTCTCTATAAAAATATCAATAAAAACTTATTAAAAAACAAAACAACAAAACAAAACCCCCAAAAGTTAGGTTGAGAGAAGGAGCTAAAAAGAAAGAGAAAGCCTACCTTCCAAGTTGTGGTCTCTGACCTTACAGAATGCCAGCATTTTTTGTACTCCATCTGTCCCTCTACCTACCCCCATCCCCTAATACTCTAGGGCAAGAGAGAATTCTTATGAAAAAAACTGTGAGAAGAGATCTCTAGATCCTGCCATTTGGGAGTCTCCCAGTGAAAAAGCCTGGCTCACCTGATCACTTTGCAGGGAAACCCACCAGTCAATACGTCCCACCTTAATTCCAATAAACCTTTTAGTTCCTTGCTTTCAAACAGTAATGGACAAACAAGAACATTACACAGATGAGGAATTCTTCAACATGAAGGACAACAAAAACCAAAAGGGACCTTGGGGAAACTTTTTAAAATCCTAATTAATATCTTAAGAAAGGTGGGATCTTGTTTCCATAAAACAAGGACTCTGTAAAAAAGGAACAATTAGAAAACATTTATGGAAATCAGAACTATGACAAGTATAAAATTAACCAAAAGGGCTGGAAGACAGAATTGAAGAAATCTAAAAGGTAGAACGAAAACATGGAAAATGGGAAGAAAAAAAGATAAATTAAAGATTTAATACGAGAGGTAGAGTTGTCTAAATACTTAGGAATTCTAAATGAGAGAACCAGAGAATATGGATAGGAGCAAATTATCAGACAAATAATTCAAGGACATTCTCCAGGGCTCAAGGGATGAGTCTGTGGCTCAAAGGGCCCACAAGATGCTCTACACAATTAAAACAGGGCAACAGGGCAGATCAGCATGAAATTTTAGACCAGCCAGGATAAGGAATATACTTTAAAACCTCCCAGAGACCAAAAAAGTGGGTATTATACAAGGGACTGAGAATAAGAATGGCATTAGATTTCTAAAAAGTAGCACTGTATGCCAATTCGGGGGTGGGGAGGTAGGCAGTGATATAGGCAATATTATTTTTAATGTAGAGTTCTATACTCAGTCAAATATGAGTATAAAACAATGACATATTTTGACACTCGAAATTCTAACTCACTCACTTTCTCAGGAAGCCACTAGAGGATTTCCTCAGTGTTTTGAAAGTCAGTTTAAAAAAAAAAAAGGAAGCCAAACGATTTAGGAAATAGGGAGCTCCAAAGAGAAGGGAAATCCTAGGATGGCTGCGGCAGAGCCCTAGGGATTACAGCTACACAACAGCCTGGAGAGCAGCCAGTTCAGACTGGAGTAGGATAAAGGGGGTGGCTGCCAGGAACTGAATACTGTACCTAACTTTAAGCAACTTAAACACTAGATGTCTGTTAGCTCACATAATCAGAAGTGCAACGACAAGGTTGGTTTATTCAACCCTTGATATTAGAGTTCTGAGTTGGCTTCTCTGGAATAAATATCTCTTTCCTCTTTGTGAAGATGGCAGATGTAGCTGCAAACTTCATGTCTTCACTCAACCAGACAAAAAAACGAGGAAGAGAAGTTTCTTCACACAAAGAAAAACCTTATGTTTCATGTCATTAGTTTTCTCCTCAGATTCCACTGACCAGATGCTACTTTAAGAAGTTAATAAACATAGCTCCCAAATTTTAAGCCCCCAGGTCATGGCCTCTGGACTGCTGTACTAGATAAAGCAAACCCAAGAGCTTGATACTGGAGCCAGAATGCTTGGGTATATGTCCTGTGTCTATTACTTACTGTAACCTGGACTCTGAACATACTTGGGGAGCCTCACGGGTCAAAGGGATGGCTAGATCAATGCATATTTGGGTATTCCTGGGTTTCCTGACCAAAAAACCATCTATATGCTATCATAATACCAGCAGAGTTATATCCTAACCACTAAGTTAGATTCTGCACCTAAGAATCTAACTTAGTGTTTGGAAGAGTAGTGATAAAGTACAGGTTCTATTTTCATCAAAAGAGAAGTACTATACAGGGGAAAAAGAAAATATCTAGGTCCTATCTTTGCCATTAAAAAAAAAAAACACTTTGTCCTGGCCGGTTTGGCTCAGTGGTTAGAGCATCGGCCTGCGGTCCCAAGAGACCCGGGTTCGGTTCCCGCTAAGGGCACGTACCTCGGTTGCAGTTTGTCCCCAGCCCTGGTTGGGTTGTGTGGGTGGCAACCACTCGATGTGTCCCTTTCACGTCGATGTTTCTCTCTCTCTCTCCCCCTCCCACTCTATCTGAACAAAAAAATTGAAAAATGTCCTCTGTTGAGGATTAAAAAAAAAAAAGAGCGCTATAATTGGAAGGGTAAGGCAACAGGGTTGTTGGCTATGAAGCAAAAGGAGGGAAAGTGATCAATATTGATTAAAAGACTGAATTTTGTTCAGATTTGTTTCTGCGAAAGTATTTTAAAGACATAAATGCTATCATTAAACTTTACTATGTCTATGTAAATACACAATGAAACAAGACAGGAAGATTTCAATAACCAAAATAACTGTACAAAAAAAATAAACAAATTAACTTTATTAAGTTACCACTTCAGTCCTTACATTGATTTGTTTACAAAAATATCAGTTTGAAATACATTATTGAAAGTGAGTATACGCAATAAATAGAAAATAGGGATGAATGGTGCTGGAGACATATCAACCAACTTATCTTCATCTTCTGCCCACTGTTGTAGATACAATTTTATACACAATCAGCATTATTGAAAGAGAAGTTAAAGTACCTGGAAGGGGGTTGGTTGAAAACTATAAAAAAGTAGCTTAAAGCTCTGGACCACTCACCAAAAAATTCACTGTTTATCAAGGAGCTAATCTCACTACAGCACTGAATTATCTCCTACTATTCATAAGAACAATTTAAAAATAAGAAAAGTGTCAGGGAACCTTCATTAACAGTATTGTTAAGTCAAAGTTTTTACTGTAAGTATCTGATAATTACTCAAATATCCTAAACCATGACACAGGCCCTATGACAATAAGTTATAAATAGTCTGAATTTAATAACTTAAACGTGATATGGTTATTATAATACACACTACATGAGTATCTCAACTAATCTCTTTCAGGTAAAGTGATAACTAAAAGACTTAAATTTAGTTTTAGTTTCTGCTCAGAAGAGTGATGTCAGTATTTTAGCAATAGTGATGACATCCATTATTATAAATATGCTAATGTACACATTTCTTTGAATTATACTTGATTGAATTCTATGTACATGTGGTTCCATATTCCAAGTGCAAATTTTCAATGGTGCAGGTTTATAATCAAAGCTGGGTTGATGAAATGCTTTCTGACTTCTGAAAGCAAATGATAAAAGCACGTTCTAAAAGTGAATAAACTAAAGTTACAAGTAGGTGACCAGTTCCAGTTCGTTTTTTTCCCTTTACGTGTGATGAACTTCATGAAACATTAATTCCCGAGGTATATTTGTTTCTGGACCATACAGCTTACATGCTCTTCTTTCAAAGGCAGCTACCATCTGCTTTACAACTTCATCAAAAAACAACGTGGCAAGCTGAGAGTGTAAAAGTGAGCGAAATTCAAAAGAAATCTGTAGGAAAATGTTAATAATTAATTTAGGAAGACATTTTTTTCACTAAATTTCTACTTAGGATAGTGGTGTTCACACTGTGAAATGGGCTACTTGCCCCAGTATCTAAGGCAGAACTGTATGTGTCTATCTAGATCAGATTTTAAACACCTCTCAGAGGAGGGAGTCATGTTTACTGCTATAAGCACAACTGCTGGCTAAATAAAATTACGTAAACAAGACCAATGACTCATTTCAAGGCAGAGCCAGCTTTTATTAAGTTTAAAAAATAGAAAAAATCTTTGCTGAATACCATGTTTATCACTCTGGCTTCTTATTAATGGGTCCTAAAAACTTTTTTTCTTTATCGATTTTAGAAAGAGAGAGGAAGGGAGAGGGAGAGAGAGAGAGAGAACATCGATTAGCCGCCTCCTGCATGCCCTGCACTGGGGATCAGGCCCACAACCTGGGCATGTTCCCTGACCGGGAATTGAACTCGCAACCTCTTGATGCATGGGTGGACGCTCAACCACTGAGCCACACCGGCCAGGCTTAATGGGTCCTTTTAGATCTACCCTACCTCCCAGTAGGAAATCAGGAAGAGAAGTGATCCTTCTCTTAAGTATTCCCATGAAAAGGAGCAGCAAGGAGATGAGATTGATCCACAAAACAGGTGGGAAGGTGGTTCAGTCTTTTTTTTTTAATTTTTATGTTTTTATTGTTTTTTTTTTTGGTTTTTTTTTTTAGAGCGAGAGGAAAGGAGAGACAGAAACATTGATGTGGGAGAGAGACATTGATTGGCCGCCTCCTGCATGTCCCCCACTGGGGATTGAGCCCACACACCTGGCATGTGCCCTGACTGGGAATTGAACCGGGACCTCTCAGTCCATGGGACGACACTCAATCCACTGAGCCACACCAGCTGGGCAGGTGGTTCAATCTTAAAGTAGAGAGTGATCTAAAACTTTATATCCCCTCAAGACAGAACTCAGGCAAGGTTTGTTTTGAGAAGTAGTGTTTTTAAAGACCAAATATCCACTAAGTTTTAAATCTTCATTTTGAGGTAATTTAAGATTAAAAAGTTGTTAAAACAGTACAAAGATTTCTCAGAGACCCATCACCTAGAAACCAGAAAAATTAACAGAGGGAGTTAATACTACTAGATAATAATGCTATTATCTAATCTATACAGGCCTTATTCAAATTTCCCCAACTGTCCCATTAATGTCCACTAATATTTTATTCTTTTTGTTTTAATCCTCACACAAGGACATGATAAGAGAGAGGGAGGAGGAGAGACAAACATCAATGTGAGAAAAAAACATTGATTGGCTGCCTTCCATTCATTCTCCGACCAGGGACTAAACCCACAATCCAGGTATGTGCCCCACCGGGAACTAAACTGGCAACCTTTTGGTGCACAGAATAGTTCAACCAACTAAGCCACTCTGTCTGAGTGCCACTAATATTTTATTTATTTTTTTCCTTTTTTTTTTTTAGTCTCTCTGCATTCTGCACACTGAAACAGAGGTAAAAGAAAATCACAGGAACTTAAATATGAAAGAATTCTTTACAATTAAATCCACAACTGTATACATTTACTTTACTCACGTCAGTGAAACATCACCATTATGAAATTTGACAAATTACATCAAAAAACCCCCAAAATATCTCATAAAATAATATATCCAAGTCTGAAGAGCGCTGCAGGCTTGACACCTTCACACCCTCCTCTTCTGTGTGCTGATGTACAACACATTGTTTCCTCGGATAAACACATCCCCATACTCATTCTTCATTTGCCCATTTACATATTCTTCTGTCTGCTCCAAGGCTATTTGATATAGCCATCTAGGCAAGCCAGGACCCCTCGATAATCCACTCCAGAATTTAATTTTACCACCACTGGTCGTCCAATGATTTGCTTTAAGAAGTCACTGGGGGTTTGCTTCCGCAGACTCATTTTAACAATCCTGATCAGAAATTTGGGAGGCAGGACACCTGAGGGCTAATCCCAGCTCTGCTACTTAATTAGCTGTGCGCCTTGGATAACTCATCATTTCACCTCTCAGGGCCTCAGGTTCCTCATCTCGTGGCTGGGACCCGGAATCCCACTCTGGCAGCCCCACAAGCCCAGCCTCCTGAGTGCCACTAATCTTTTAATGAAAGCAATTCAAGAGCTGAGAACAGCGTACAGAAATTTAATAAAAATTATGATCATTTCTTAAAATGTAATACCTGAGTTGCAAATATAGAGAACAAATATATTCTATTGGCAAAGAAGAAGCTACAAGTGGCTTTAAGTTTTCTGTAGCTAAAGTGATGTGAAGAAGAAAATACCTCAGTCCCTAGATTCTAAAAATGTATTTGTCCCCTTTGCAGTTTATTTAAATTGTTATTAAACTAGTAGTAAAGTCATAGCATGTGTCTTATAACCTATGGACTTGTAAAAATTAGGAAGTAGAGAAGAAATGATTATTCAAGGTCTCAAGAAAATACAATAGAGCCCAGCCGGTGTGGGATTGAGCATTGACCTATGCGCCAGGGTGGTCCCAGTTCTATTCCCAGTCAGGACAGTACCCAGGTTGCAGGCTTGATCCCCAGTAGGGGGCATGCAGGAGGCAGCCAATCGATGTCTTTTTTACTGATGTTTCTATCTCTCCCTCTCCCTTCCTCTCTCTAAAACCAATAAAAATAAATAAATAAAAAATAAAAATGAACAGAAAAGCATCACACTAAAAGAAAAGAAATACACTAGAAAAAGATTCACTAGTATTCATTCTTATAAAGTTAGTGCAGAAAGAAGAATTCAACACTCAAAAATTTGAGATTTAAAAAAAGTGGTTTTTTAGTAATTGCTATATGAATAAGATTATTAATTACGGCATCTGGGCTCTAATAAATGTATTATTCCTTCTACCAACTTCACCTGATATTTGGAACAAATGAAGGACTTTATGAGAGACTTACTGAAAAATCCAAGGTACAAGTTCTTGGGTAGCCAGGAAGACCTGGGCTAAAACGCCAAACAGTCTCCAAATGATTGAAAAGCTTCCCATCAGTACAGGATGCCTAGAACAAAATAAAAAAATAAAACTGCAATAAAATACCATTTGGATTGTCCACACCATAACTGATGATGACTTCTTTGGAAAGTAAATATATTTAGTCAGACCACAGGTGATGCAGACATCTCATTTTTAGCTTGGTGCTAGGAAGTGACCTCTTGCCAATTTAAGCCATTTTCTTTTCCCCTGGGATCCTCAAGACCGCCAGTTGTCTTCTCTTTCACTGCTATCACCCACAGTGCTACTTGGAGTTCTCTCCTCCAGCAGCAAAACAGGGAGTGATTTTCTGGAAGTTTATTTCCAGCTCTGCCACTTATAAGTGATCCTGAACAAGTTGATTCCCTGTACCATATTTCCTTAATCTGTAAAATGAGTATAATACCTATTTTATACCATCACAATGAAATGGCTAAGACATTTATAAGGTATCTGGCACAGATTTCTACAATTCTATCTTTCTTCTTTCCTACTCAAAGGTTTTTCTCTTATTAATCACATCCTTCACCCATTATTATTTATTTCTAAAGGCCTCTAGGGTTCTAGTTTTCATGAAAGTCTGGCCCTGACTCTTGTACTTGACCCACTGCTTTCTAACTTCTAATCTCTTCAGTGCTCATGTTTACTTTGTATGTATGTGTACACACTGAAATATAATACTTAGTGAGATTATGTGCAGAGTATCCTATTTCCCATTCTATACCACTAAAAAAATGCTGACTGAGGCGCACTAAACTAAAGGGTTGCCTTCTGTAGTGTGAAAAATGGTGGTCAGAATCACAGTCATTAGTCCATTGTTAGGGTGAGTTATGACCTTGGATGAAGTTCAACTTCTTTATTTACTATCCTAAAATGGTATCTGGGCCTTATTATACTAGTAGACAACTGACCTCAAAAATATATATCACGCCCTTGCCGGTTTTGCTCAGCGGTTAGAGCGTCGGCCTGCGGTCCAGAGAGTCCTGGGTTCGGTTCCCGCTAGGGGCACATACCTCAGTTGCAGTTTGTCCCCGGCCCTGGTTGGGTTATGTGGGTGGCAACCACTCGATGTGTCCCTTTCACATTGATGTTTCTCTCCCTCTCTCTCCCTCCCACTCCATCTGAACAAAAAATGGAAAAATATCCTCGGGTGAGGCTAAAAAAAAACCCACAAAAACATATCACTTTCTCTCAGCAGCAGACGATTTTTAAAATCCTGTTTCAAAGTCTATAGCCCCCCTCCTCAATTATGCCTTAATTTTTCAGCTCTTATGGCATATATTGGAGCCAATAGATGATAAAGCCCCTCTATTCCTTTTCTCTTTGATAACTTATTCCCTCAAGCGTTTACACTGTCCCTCCACTGATGCTCTACGCTACAGATTAGCAAAATAAGGACTTGCATAGGTAAACTCATTTTCTCCAAAGTATAGCCTTCCCTAACTATAGCCTCCCTAAACAAAGAAAATTTTCTGACCACATCAGGATCTCTCCACAGACAGTTCAAACTGGGAGCCAAAGGGTTAAAAAATCTATTTTCAGTTTATTCTACACTTCCTCTTCACTGAAATCCTTTTGAATAAATTATCAGATGGTAATATGGTAGAATCATTACAAAGATCAACTACATCCATATTAACAAGTATTTATAAAGAAATGCTCTATTTACATGTTCATCAAAAATTATTTTAATTCAAAAAATGAAAACCAGTGAATGTCTTAAATTTATTTAGATGTTGTAAAATAGTAGTCAGTCATCAAAATACTGAATTTAGTCACATTATGGAAAGTCACTGGAGAGAAGTAAAAATTTTCTTCAAAAGGTTCGGCTTTATATATATATATAATGGCCAGCTAATTTTTAAGTGCATCAAAAGTCTAATAAAATTTTACTGTTTCAGTTATCCAATTTCAAGATAATACATTCTACCCTTCTTACAATCACATAAGACACTTATAAGAAATTTAACAATGTAGGAGAACAGCTGCTGAGAACACTCAATACAACACAGCACCTTCTTCTGAATACTTTTAGGCAAAATGTGGCAATGATGCACTCACACCTGTCGTCTAGCCCAAGGACTCACAGATTTTTACAGCTAATTTTGATAGGGATGTTACTACCAAAGACCTCATTCCTGACAGCAGAGGTGTTATGCTGATGACCTTCAACTGGTTGTTCTGATTGAACTGACTCCAACCACAGAAACTATGCTATATAAAATGTTTATAGCCCTGGCTGGTTTGGCTCAGCGGTTAGAGCATCGGCCTGCGGTCCGGAGAGACCCAGGTTCGGTTCCCGCTAAGGGCATGTACCTCGGTTGCAGTTTGTTCCCGGCCCTGGTTGGTTGTACAGGTGGCGACCACTTGATGTGTTCCTTTCACGTCGATGTCTCTCTCTCTCTGTGTTCCTCTCTCTCCCTCCCACTCTACCTGAACAAAAAATGGAAAAATGTCCTCGGGTGAGGATGATAAACAAATAAAAAATAAAAAAATAAAAAAATGTTTATGTTGTGCCTGGCCAGTGTGGCTCAGTGGTTGACGTCAACCCATGCACCAAGAGGTCAGCAGTTTGACTCCCAGTTAGGGCACATGTCCAGGTTGTGGGCCAAATCCCCAGTGGTAGGCATGCAGGAGGTGGCCAATTGATGTTCTCTCTCTTGATGGATGTTTCTGTTTCTCTCTCCCGCTCCCTTCCTCTTTCTCTAAAACCAATAAAGAAAAAAAATTTATTTTTACATTTATCTTCAGATAGAGCAGGAGGAAGAGAAGGGGGAAAAGGAAGAGAGAAACATCGATGTGAGAGAGACACGTCCACGGGTTGCCACCCACACAACCCCGACCGAGGCTGGGGACAAACCACAACTGAGGTATGTACCCCTAGTGGGAACTGAACCCGGGACTCTCTGGTCCACAGGCTGATGCTCCAACTGCTGTGCCAAACCAGCCAGGGCAAGAAAAAAATTTTTTTTTTTATCCTCACCCGAGGACATTTTTCCATTTTTTGTTCAGGTAGAGTGGGGGAGGGGGGAGAGAGGAACAGAGAGAGAGAGAAACATCGATGTGAAAGGGACACATTGAGTGGCTGCCACCCGCACAACCGACCAGGACCGGGGACAAACTGCAACCGAGGTACATGCCCTTAGCGGGAACCGAACCCGGGTCTCTCAGGACCGCAGGCCGACACTCTAACTGCTGAGCCAAACCGGCCAGGGTGAAAAAAATTTTTAATAAAACGTTTATGTTGTGAACTAGGCAGTAAGATTCACTGAACTGTTGCCTCTACTAAATGTGCTGTGTGCCCGACTGGTGTGGCTCAGTGGACTGAGTGTTGTCCCATGGACTGAAGTCCCGGTTCGATTCTCAGTTAGGACACATACCCAGGTTGTGGGCTTGATCCCCAAAATGGGGAGTGCAGGAGGCAACTGACTGATGTCTCTCTCCCATTGATGTTTCTCTCTCTCTCAAAAAATCAATAAAAACATATTTTAAAAAAATCTGCTGTAAACTCTCAAGGGCTTCTGACAATTACATATTCATGTAGACTAACACATTATAACTGGCATATTAAGACACAGGCACATCTGGGGAAGCTAATAATTCATAGAAAATGTCACATGGTTTCTACTCCTCCCTTGGTTATAATGATTTTTATTGTATGTTACAAATGTGTATTAGGTATTAAAGTACAGAACCTGAACCCAGGGATAACTGAAAACTGAGCACACATAGTTGTGTTATTCTTAAGTATATCTTTAAACAATAAATTAGCATGTTAAGTGAGGCAGCTTATTTTAATGGAAAAATAGTTTTGGAATCAGAAACATTGCGTAAATTTGTTTAAGGTTCTTAATTTCCCTAAACCTTATAAAATTGAGCTAGCCATGGTCATCTAATACATTTTATTATTATTTTTTCTAATACAGTTTCTTCCCTCCTCAACAGTGTTGGAAGTTTCTGAGATTATTATGAGCATCTCTAGATCTGAAATAACCCAAGAACATAGTAGTGAGATTTTCATAAGCAAGGAGCCCTCATGACTCCCATCTTTGGAGTATTGGTGCTGAGGATAGAGAAATGAAAAAGAGGACTTCCCATCCCCCCAAGTAACTCAGTTTTATCAAGCAGAAATCCAGATGAAGAAATAAATTATATTACAGAGTGTTAAGAGATAAAGCATGCAAAAAGCCCAGAGTAATCAGAGGTAGAAATGATTATTTACACAAAAGGAAAGGGAGAAAGCAACACAGACAACTAGAATTTAACAGATTAATAGGAAAGGAGTTAAGTTCATTATAAGGAAGAAGAGTGAACAATATGCAAAGGCACAGGGCTATGGAATAAGTACGGCATGGTACATTCCTGGAACTTTAACATGTGTGGTATTGCCTGAACATTTAAGTGTAATGTGTAAGGGTGTGTGAAAGGAGGTAGAGTAGATGGGCCCATGAGCAATAAAATGATTGACTTTAGGAAGAGAAGAAAGCCAGAGGGAGAAAATGAGATTTTGTTTTTTAGAATTCTTTTAGACATCTCATAATATTTTAAGATTTAAGTTATAAGAGTTTAAATAATAAGAGATTGAGGTCAGGGAATAGAAAAAAATATTAAGATTATAAAGATATTCATCGATATCCGAAAGACTGAGTTATACAGTCTTGGCTGTATAACTTTGGGCAAGTTATCTAACTCTTCTAAATCTATTTTGCTCAACTATAAGATGAGAAGAATATTTGAACCTCAAAGGGATGTTATGAAGATTAAATGAGTAATTCAAGTAAAGCACTACAAACAGGTCAATAAGTAGCTATTTAAATTATATCTAATTTAAGAGAGGCAATTCAGTTTAATAGGTAAAAACCCCAAAACTATGAGGCAAACAGGTGGAAACATTTCTAATAACAGCAAAGTCCCAGAATGGAACAAATCTTTTTAAGTGGAGTTCAAGTTCTGAGAGTGAGTCTAGGATGGACTTGAAGGTCTCAGCTTCACTGGACAACTATACTACTTTTTTTTTTTTAATCCTCACCCGAGGACATTTTTCCATTTTTTGTTCTGGTAGAATGGGAGGGAGAGAGAGAGAGAAACATCGATTTGAGAGGGACACATCGAGTGGCTGCCACCCGCACGACCAACCAGGACCGGGAACAAGCTGCAACCAAAGTACGTGCTCTTAGCGGGAACCGAACCCAGGTCTCTCTGGACCACAGACTGACGCTCTAACCGCTGAGCCAAACCGACCAGGGCGACAACTATACTCTTTGTAGTATGAGAGTTACAATTAATACAATGCCTGAAAAAAACCCGACAGTGTTTAGCTCTGGTCAATTACCAAAAAATTATATCACCACTAAATCCTGTGGGCACATAACATAACTTAGCTTTAAAAGTCTTTGGTCACGTTACTCTGGGAATTAAAAATAAATAGGTAGTACTCTATGGAATTTTGCCTTTTTGTGTATTCAAGTCTGGGTACCTTTCCTATATGTGTACCCTCGCTGACAAGGGTAAGATGATGAATATAATGCATGTAACAGCACCTGACCTTTTAGTAGCTGGTACAGAGCAGAACAACCACAACAATGTTTATGCTCTCTATATTTATCTTTGCTACTTTTCTTTTTTTTTTTATCCTCACCCGAGGACATTTTTCCATTTTTTGTTCAGATAGAGTGGGAGGGAGAGAGAAAGAGAGAGAGAGAGAGAAAGAGAGAGAGACATCGACGCGAAAGGGACACATTGAGTGGCTGCCACCCGCACAACCAACCAGGGCCGGGAACTAACTGCAACGGAGGTACGTGCCCTTAGCGGGAACTAAACCCTGGTCTCTCTGGACCACAGGCCAACGCTCTAACCGCTGAGCCAAATCGGCTAGGGCTATCTTTGCTACTTTTCTTCACCCTTTCACAACTTTCCCTTCCTTCACTAAAAAAAAAAAAAAAAAAGTGCATAAATTAACTTAAAACATTTCTTGCTTGTGTGGCCTGATCTTTCCTATGGGTGAGTAGTCTTCAACAGAAAGAAAACAAAACGTTTCTTATTTCCATATGTTAGTCAAATTTCTATTTGGAAAGAATAATGCTAATACTGTATAAAGTAAAACAATTAGGAAATATAATAAATGGTGTTTTCCCCCTCCTCTTCTATTAGCTTAGGAAAATATTTTTAAGCGATTCCACTTTAACCCATTTTATATCATCAATATTTGGGGAATATTAAAAAACAACAACAACAAAAAACTATTACCTTTACCAAATGTGGTTTCACCATGGTTACTATGGATGTATAGTGCTCCAATATAGGTGGAAATCCAATTTCTAATCGTGTTTTGCAGTATCCGGATCTCTTTGATATTATATCTGATTTTTTGCACCAAGGAACAAAATGTTTGTAATTTTCCATTCCTGATACTACATCATACATTTCCTGCATAGAGTATCTAAAAAAAAAAAGAACAGTTAACTGCATTTAGTTATATAGTATACATATTCTTTAAATTGAACACAAATACAACTTATTGTATGAGGCAAGAAGTCATTTGGGACACGTTGAATGTTGAATCACACATACAGTCGTCCCTCGCCACTTCGTGCTTCAACTTTTTCATTCATTCATTCATTCATTCATTTATTTTCATCCTCGCCCGAGGACATTTTTCCATTTTTTGTTCAGATAAAGTGGGAGGGAAAAAGAAAAAGAGAGAGAGAGAAACATCGATGTGAAGGGGACACATCAAGTGGCTGCCTCCCACACAACCCAACCAGGGCCGGGGACAAACTGCAATGGAGGTATGCGCCCTTAGCGGGAACAGAACCCAGGTCTTCTGGACCACAGGCTGACTCTCTAACCACTGGGCCAAACCGGCAAGGGCGCGCTTCAACTTTTGTGGCTTCACTCTATTGTACAAATATAGTATAGTATATTTTCTCAAATATATACTATACTATATTTGAAAAAACTGCGATAGAGTAAAGAAGCGAAAGTCGAAGCAAGAAGTGGCGAGGGACGACTGTATATAGAAAATCCTACTTTGCGAAAATTCATTTATCGTGGCAGAGTCTGGAACTGATTAACTGTGATGAGGTGGGCCGACTGTACTCTGAAATGAAGGACTTCAAAGCAACACAAAATAAAAGGGAGCTAAATATACATATATAGCAGAGGTGATAATTTGGTAGACCAGAGGTTGGATCTGGCTTGCAGATGTAGATTTTACAATTTTAATTAGTGCCCAGCATTTAAAAATTGGGAGCTTGAGAGAAAAAAACTTAAATGTTTACCAGTTGGTAGACATTAATAAATGCTTAATATAATAATAAATGATTAATAAATTCTGGTACACCCATACTGTGGAACTCTGTATCAGTTATTTAAAAGATAAAAAATATAACTTAGAGCAAAGAGGTTTACAATATATTGTTATATTTAAAAAGCACATTACAGCCCTAGACAGTTTTCTCAGTGGTTAGAGCACGAGCCCTCAGACCAAAGGTCATGGGCTCGACTCCCGGTCAGGGGCACATACCTGGATTGCAGGTTTGATTCCTGGCTCCAGTTGGGGTTATAAGGAGGCAACCAATTAATGCGTCTCTCTCACATCCATGTTTCTTTCTCTCTCTCTCTCTCTACCTCCCTCCCACTCTACCTAAAAAATCAATGGAAAAATATCCTCAAGTGAGGATTAACAGAAAAAAAAAAAAGCACTTTACAAAGTAGACAGGATATGTGCAATTCTAGTATCTACTTAAAAATTATAAGTATATATATTTCCTCCACTTTATTTGTTAAAAACAATTTTTTTCAATTTATTTGATTTTGGAGAGAGGAATGGAGAAAGAGAAGCCATTCCACCGCTCTATGCACCCATTGATTGACTCCTCATGTGCCCTGACTGGGGTAGAACCTGCAACCTTGGTGCATCGGGATGATGCTCCAACCAACAGAGCTACCTTGGCCCGAGTTGTGCCCGAGCACTGAAGGGGTCAAGGGGTCAATTCCCAGTCAAGGACACATACCTGGGTTGCAGGTTTGATTCCCAGCCCTGGTTGGGGTGTGTACAAGAGGCAATCGATTGATGTATCTCTTTCACATCAATGTTTCTCTCCCTCTTCCTCCCTCCCTCCTCTCCACTCTTTCTAAGAATCAATGGAAAAATATCCTCAGGTGAGGTTAAAAAAAAAACAAAACAATAGTTGCTATTTCTCTTTTGGATAGATACCAGCTGTGGCAAAGATGTCTACCCATCCAAAGATTTGCACTTCCTCTCTGCGGTGTTGTTGCTGGGAAGTAGCTGCCCATCAGGGGCTACAATTCCCAGTACCCCCTCCCTTGCACTTAGAGGGTCACGACTAGTTCTTGCCAATAATATCTTATTGGAAGCACCATCACTTCCAAACCAATGTGGTTAAGAAGCAGGTCTCTCTCTCTCTTTTTTAATTGATTTTTTAGAGAGAGAGGAAGGGTGAGAGAGATAGAAACATTGATGTGAGAGAGAAACATCAATCGACTGCCTCCTGCACACCCCCTACTGGGGACTGAGCCCACAAGCTGGGCATGTGCTCTGCCCCAGAATTGAACCAGGACCTCAGTCCATGGGATGATGCTCAATCCACTGAGCCACACTAGCCAGGCAGCAAGTGTATCTCTTTAAGAGACAAGTGGATAAAAAAGTTGTGGCATATATATATATTATGGAATGTTACTCGGTCATGAATAAGAATGAAACCTTACCATTTATAACAGCATAGATGGACCTAGAGCATATTATGCTAAGTGAATTAGGTCAGAGAATAACAAACACCATATGATTTCACTTGTATGTGGGAATATAAAGAGCAAAATAAACAAAATGAAAACAGACTCAACAGATACAGAAATCAGACTAATGGTTGCCAGAGAGATAATGGGTTTGGGGTAAAAAAAGTAAAGGGATTAAGAACTACAAATTGGTAGTCACAAAACAGTCCGAGGGATGTAAAGTGTAGCATAGGGAATACAGTCAGTAATATTGTAATAACTTATAAGGTGCCAGGAAGGCACTTGAAATATTGGGGGTATCACTTAGTGAAGTATATGACTGTCTAACCACTGTGCTTACTGCGTAATGACCTGTAGGGAATTAGGACCACCCTTGTAGAAATTCCCATATGAAGAGATGTTGTATTTCTGGTTTAGCAGAACTGCAGAGTTTCTATCCTATGCTACATATACCACTAGATCAGGGACCAAACTGGCCCAATGCTTGTTTTGGTAAATAAAGTTTGTTTTTGTTTTTTGTTTTTCCTTTATTCATTTTAGAGAGAGAGGAAGGAGAAATAGAAACATCAATGAGAGAGAACATTGATTGGCCACCTCCTGCATGCTCCCCACTGGGGATTGGGCCCACAACCTGGGCATGTGCCCTGACCAGGAATTGAACTGGCAACCTCTTGGTGCATGGGTCGACACTCAACCACTGAGCCATACCGCCCAGGGCTTGTAAATAAAGTTTTATTAGAACATAGCCATGCCTTTCTATTTATTACACATTTTCTATGGCTACTTTTGGTTTCTATATCTACTTTTGGACTATAATGAGAGTTAAGTAGTTGGAACAGAGACAGCATGGTACACAAAACCTAATATATTTACTATCTGGACCTTTATAGAAAAGGTTTGCCAACCTCTTTTCTAGATGGTAGGTGCCTCTTAGTATATTTGTATGTATTTATCCATGTATGTGTGTGAAGGAGCTATATAAACCTATTTGGGGCCTGGATATTAGTAATGTTGCCACTATAGAAAAGAACCGTATACAAAAATGCAGGTTATAAGAGTTCAATTATTTCCTTTACATGTCATGGTTTAAATATGTCTTATAAAGTTACCATATAATTATATCCACTTACAAATATTTATAAAAAGCAAGAGCTATGGAAAGGCCAACCTAGAAAAACCAGAACTTAAGTCTGTAAGCAGAGAATCCAGAAAAATGAGGCATGATACTCTATAGAAAAGAATGTGCTCTTTTAGTAGAACTATTATTATACAAACCCTATAATTCTCCTCTCTGAATATTCTTTTCTTTTGTTTATTAATGGTGCAGTAATTTTAAAGAAAGTTCTTGCACACATCTCCTTAGGCAAAATTGAGGTATGTAGTGGAAGAGTTCTGCTCATCAGTATACCACAGGAAGCTAGATATCTAAAAAGACAAAAATACATGATTTAGATTGACATTAAATATTAAGAGGAAACACAAATGATATTGTAAAATAACTGTTACACTTCAGAAGGCTCTGCAACTTTATAATGTGCCTGAAATGCACACGTGTGGACACACTCGCACATATTGTAAAATAACTATCACTTTAGAATATTCTTGAGACACACGCACGCATACACATACACAAAACAAGCTTCTTAAGCACCTTAAAGAAAACTAAGAATAACAGCTTACAGTTAGGGTTAGAAGCTTCTGGCACAAAAGGGACCTCTCCTAACACCTCAAAATGTTGGCTTTTAGTCTGTAGTTATGTGCCTTAATTCTTCTTCTTTTTTTTTTATCCTCACCTGAGGACATTTTTCCATCAAGACACATCAAGTGGTTGCCACCCACACAACCCAACCAGGGCTGGGGACAAACTGCAACCGAGGTACGCGCCCCTAGCGGGAACCAAACCTAGGTCTCTCTGGACTGCAGGCCGACGCTCTAACTGCTGAGCTAAACTGGCCAGGGCTCTTCTTTTTTATTTTATTTTTTGAGAGGAGAGAGAGGAACATTGATCGGGTCACCTCCAAATATGCCCTGACTTGGGATCAAACCTGCAACCTGGGTATGTGCCCTGACCGGGAATCAAACCTGCTACCTTTTGGTGTACATGATGAGGCTCCAATCAACTGAGCCACCTGTCCAGGGCAGGGTTCCTTAATTCTTGTCCTACTGTATTAGTTTAAAATTAGTTTTCACTTTCAGATTGAAGATCTGTTGACCCTGTGAGAACTGTTGCTCTTTTATCCTTTAACTTTCTGTTCTCCATTTCATGCATATATGTAAAAACATATGCCAATGTAATTAGAATGTTGTCTAAGGCACTTCTAAATACAGATGTCTGACATACCCTTTCCTTAACAAAATTATTGCATAATTATTTTACACTACTATTCACATATTAGTTCACATATTTACTGAGCTCCTATTATGTGCTAGGCACTAGGGATATACTGGTGAATAAAACAAACATGAACCTTATGAAAATTAGATGCTAATGAGGATTCCAAAAAAAGTACTAAAAGAGAAATGGGGTTGGAGACATATAATTAGGACCTCTTTTTTTTTTTTTTTTCATTTATCTTCAGATAGAGCGGGAGAGAGGTAGAAAGAGAGAGAGAGAAACATCAATGTGAGAGAGACACATTGAGTGGTTGGCTACCCTCACGACCCCAACTGGGGCTGGGGACAAACCACAACCGAGGTACAAGCCCTAGCAGGAACTGAACCTCTCTAGTCCCATGGGCTGATGCTCTAACTGCTGAGCCAAACCAGCCAGGGCAGGACCTCTTTTAGATAGGGTGGTCTAGGAAATCCTCTGAGGTTAAATTTCAGCTGAGACGTAATGGATAGGAAAGAGTTAGCTATGTAAAAAGAGAAATAGGTATATTTATACATAATAAATGTGTGTACCTATATGTAAACACATATAATACAATACAATATATATATGAATGAAGAGGAGAGGTAGATGGGGGACATTCCAGGCAGCAGAGAATTGAGAGACTGAAAAAAACTAACAGTGGAACAGCACTATAGCAAGCCAGGGGGAGAATACCATGAAATGTTAGAAAGACAGGTTAGAACTAGATCATGCTGGGGATTATTGGCCAGAATAAAGCAATCCGGAATTTATTCTCAATGAGAAGCTGTTGAATAATTCCAAGTAAGACAGTGTTAGTTCACTAAATCAAACCTTCAAATCATTTTTTAAAAAGGGGAACAGGGTGGCCTGGTAAAACCTCCTTATGTTATTAAATATAAACTTTAATTTCTATAAAATGATTTATATATAAATAAAATTTCTTTTAAAAACATTTTTTTCTTTATTGATTTTCTTTATTTTTATTTTTTTGGTGGTACCAAAAAAATGCCCCTAGCGGGAACCAAACCTGGGACTCTCTGGTCCACAGGCCAATGCTCAGCCGCTGAGCCAAACTGATCAGGGCTTCTTTATTGATTTGAGAGAGAGGAAGGGAGAGGGAGAGAGACACAGAAACATCGATGAGAGAGAACATTGCTTGGTCACCTCCTGCATGCCCCCTCACTGGGGATTGGGCTCACAACCAGGGCATGTGCCCTGACCAGGAATTGAACTGGCGACCTCTTGGTGAATGGGTCGATGCTCAACCACTGAGCCACACCGGCTGGGCTAAATAAAATTTCTTTTTTTTATCCTCACTGGAGGACATTTTTTCCATTTCTTGTTCAGATAGAGTGGGAGGGAGAGAGAGGAAGAGAGAGAGAGAGAAACATCGATGTGAAAGGGACACATCGAGTGGTTGCCACCGGCACAACCCAACCAGGGCCGGGGACAAACTGCAACTGAGGTACACGCCCTTAGTGGGAACCGAACCTGGGTCTCTCTGGACCGCAGACCTACACTCTAACTGCTGAGCCAAATCGGCCAGGGCCTAGCTTCCTCTTTTAAATAGAAATCACAAAAAATAATTTAGAATCTGTTAGCCATACTGATTACAACAACCAAATTTGGTGTACAAAACGCCCAATTATCTATTTCCCTTCTAAGACATTCTTAGATGTCTTTTTTTAAAAAAAAACATTTTTTCTTTATTGATTTTAGAGAGAGAGGAAGGGAGAGAGAAACATCGATGAGAGAGAACATGGACTGGCCACCTCCTACTTGCCCCCCCCCCCCCCCCGATGGGGCCCACAACCTGGGCATGTGCCCTGACCAGGAATCGAACTGGCAACCTCTTGGTGCATGGGTCAACGCTCAACCACTAAGCCACAGCAGCTGGGCTTAACTGTATGTGGTTTTGAATTCTGTAGTAGGTTCATGTAATACCATCCCTTCAGCCCCTCAAAAGAAACCATTCCACAATCTGATTACAATCATAAGTGAAATACCTGTTTAAAGCAAGCTTATAAGAGTTTTCCTGATCAGGTTTGCATACTCTGGTTACAATGCCTTGGACAACACATCTATTTCTATACACTATCAAGAATAAGGTGTCTTCAACTGCAATACGAGGAGTCATACAGTCATATATATGGTTAAACCATGAAATAATAACGGGACCAGATGAAGCAGTTTTTTGTCACTAATCTTCCAATATTACATCTTAAATACTAGAGTGTATATATAATATTCTATAATAATAAAATTATTAAATGTATATTTATTATAATTACATATAACTGTTAGTGGAAAAAAATGTGTCTCGTCTTCCCTGTTAGTGGGAGTGAGGTTCTTGGGATACCCCTGGAAGAAGCATATCTGGAGGTCCCCCCACAGGAGGATGAAATATGGTACAAAGCTTTATTTCCATGGAATTACATTCCTGGGTTTCCAAAGTCCCATTTCTCTTAGTCCAGTCATAGAAGAAGTGTAGCTAGGGTTTCAGTAAAACTAAAAGTAAAGTCAATGTTCAGAGTTTCCTTTCCATATTGGAGCTGGGTTTAGTTCAGCATCAGGCTAGTTATAGCCTATTAGTCCATTGTGTGTGGGGCCTTGTGGACAAATGCCCGGAAGCAGGAATATAAGAACCTCACAAGCCAAGAGTCCCAAAAGAGCCAAGAGCATGAAACAGAGCTTCTTTGTTTAGGGGATTATATATTTCCACAGGCTTGCAGTGGCCATGCCCATTCTGGCCAAAGACTTCTGTTCCCAGGTGTGACTGACAGGCAGCACCTCCCCTGTCACTACAACTTTACTGGGCATGTGTCTATCTCCCCTCTGTTTAGTCCCCTCCCCCCAATGTTTTTCAGGGAACATGCCTATAATGCCTGGCCTTCCCTTCCCTCCTTTCCTAATAACTAGCTAATTACAACGGTATCATAACTATATTAATAATATATAGTTAATTAATAATACAATTATAATAAAATTTATATTAATATAATTATAATTAACAATATTATATTAATAATGTATTGATATAATACTTTATTAATAATATAATAAAAGGTCAGAATCTGTTAATATTTCTGACAAGCAAAGAACTCATAAACTCCCTCCATCTTCATTATCATAAACAGTAGATATTTATCTTGAAATTTAAGCCTTAATTATATCACTAAAGTAATAGTACTGTGTTCTTAAAAGCAAGTTTTGTTCATTTGCAAGCCAACATTTTATGAGTAATACAAGCAGATCTAAAGCACAGCACAGTATGTTCTACTTGGAACTACTTTTTAGGTTATTTCCTAAAGCAGGAATAAATAATATAAGATTATTTTATTTCAGTTTCAACCAACATTTGTATAAAAGGATGAGTTTGCTGGGTTGTTGGCATTTAAAAAATTCATTGCCTGGCTGGTGTGGCTCTTGGCTCAGTGGTTGAGAGTGGACCCCTGCACCAAGAGGTGCACAGTTGATTCCCAGTCGGGGACGTGCAGGAGGCAGCCTGTGGATGTTTGTCTCTCTCTCTCTCCCTTCCTCTCTAAAAATCAATGAAAACATATATACACACACGAACGAAAACCCTTGATTAAAAAAAAATTCTTCATAAAATCTACATGTCCTGGAGCTCAACTAGATTTGTGATTTCCCCCTCCATCCCGTACTGTTTACAACTGACTTCATTTTAGACACTAACTTTAATTTTCGAGCATAATTAATTACAATGCCATTAGTAAAAAGAAACTAAGTAGTGGAAGTATGGAATTCATGTTCCACGTTCTCTACCCCCTGCCTCCACCACAAAGGAACCAACCAGGAAAATCGAAGGCAGACTCTGGTTCAAGGTTACATGATCCGTAACTTACAGTGGAGTGGAAAAAAAATCCAAGTACTCTACGTCGGCTACATTTAGTTTTGCAAGAACCAAAGGGCGGGGGCAAAGACCTCTACCAGAAACTGGGAAAGCACGTCTGGTCTTCTGGCACGCAGGAGGAATAGGAAAAGGGGGTTCACTGCCAGGCACAAAGTTCCACAAGCCCAGAAGCCCGCAACAACATCGTACGCAAAGTTAAAACTTTCCAGCAGCAGCAGCAAGTCGTAGGGGTGGAGACCGGAACAGCCCAAAGGCACCCGAGGCAGAACAGTTCTATCAGCTGCTCCCAAGTTGCTTCGCGGAAGATTTACCGCCTCTCGCGAGGATAGTGAGCCACACACACAGAAAGGGCGGCCGGGATAGGCTGGCCTCGGGTGATGAACACCGCGCCCAAGTCCCTCAAATATAGAACCCAGGAAATCTTCTCTCTCCGGGTCCAGTTCCCCCTCACCTAACATAACCCTGGACTTCCCAACTCAGCAGGCCCGGACGGAAAACTACTCCGGTCGCGGGGCCCCTGTTTATTACCTGACGTTCCGCGCAGGCCCCTGCGCCGAAATCGGGGCTGCCGCCGACTTTGGACGACATCCCGACACCGAGACCACCTTTCTCAGGGCTCTCTGACCAGTCCGAGCTGCCATGATCTTCTCACTGAAGCCGGTAACTACCTCTGGGACCAAACTCACCGCGCCGCCCATCTCCGGCGAGGCCAGGTCCTGCCCGGCTCCGGCGCCTACCAGCCAATCGGCGGCCTTCCTGAGCCTCCAGACCCACCCCTTCTTCCTTCCCGATTGCGCAAAGCTGACGCACGTTCCTACCGCCTTAAGGCCAAATGTAAACGCGCGCGTCATCCTGCCAGCCAATCAGAGGCAGCGTCGGGCCGCCCGGACACACCCTCTCCGCTGGCTGGCCTCTGGGTCTCGCCGCGCGCTCCGGCGGCTCACGTAGGACTCGGTGACCGTTTACCCCAGCTCCTGCGCTGGAACTCTTCCCGGATTCGCCAGCCGCCGCGGTTCCCTTGGGCACTGCTGTCGGTCGCGAGGCTCGGCTCGTGCGCTCATCCTGGGGCGGGAGGAATCCGGATGTTCTCTGTGTTAATTATGTAACTGTCCAAACCGGTGAGTGCTGAGCCGGACCCGCCATCGCTCCTGGCTGCCAAGTCCGGCTGTCAGTCTTGCTGTTAATAATTGTCTCACACAGTACCTGCCGCGCCAGCCCCGTGGGGTTGTGAGGGCAGCATACGGCCACGTCCTTAGGGAAGAGACTTGGGTTATTTGTGCTTTCTTCCTGCCTGGCTCGTGTATGGTATTCCATACGAACCAGACAGCTTGGCTTTGATTCACCCATTTCAGGAATCAGCCATCCGGTCCTGACATGTTTTCCCTCCTTTTGTCCCCAGGTCCTTTTTTAACCTTTGTACGTCATAGTTTCCTGTGAATTGAAGATAGCAATACTACCTGCCGCCTACAGTTGTGAGGAGTAAATGAAATAGTTGATTAAACGTAGTTAACAAATATACTCTTTGCTGCTTTAGGTGGTGGATAAACGAACAAAAGTCTTTACCTTCGTAGAACTTCATCCTAGAGGGGGAAACCCATTAGGATGTAATATATGTCAGATAGTCATGTGCGGTAGGAAAAAGTAAAGCAGGGTAAAGAGATGGAAGGGGTAAGGTGAGGTGCTGTTTTGTATAGGAGGGTGGTCAGGTGGGCCTCTGATGTGGCGCTACAAAGGCCTAGATGAGGAATTGAATTATGTATTTGGGGGGAAAGTTACTCAGGCGGAGGCAAGAGCAAAGGTTCCAGGCAGGAACAACCTTGCCCTGCTGTATGAAGAGCAAGGGCTTTGGATCCCAGTGAGTGAAGAGGTCGTGAGGGGTGAGCTTTATCAGAGTGCCTGGGAGGTCATGGTACCAACTTGGGGTTTTATTCCAAGGGGGAAGGAAAGTCATTTGAGTTTGAGGGCAGAACAGTGACTTGATCTTATTTACATTTACAGAAATATTAGCCACTGTGTCTATGTATGATTGTTACTTTCTACTCTTGTGTTGTTCATGGCAGTCATCCCTTACTAGATGCTTTGTGGAGTGAGTTGAAATCCCCAACTACAAAGTTTGTCACGCACTTTTCAATACAACACAGGATGTGCTTGACCATTCAGGTGGTTCTGTAGCTGTATCCAAACAGTTCTATTTCAGATTACCTTCAAATTCACAATCCCTGCTCTTCTTGCCTTAAATCCTAAATATTACCAGTAATGTCTTCCTTCAGAACACATTTTCAGTATATAACTTCCCTGCTCAAAAACCTCAGTGCTGCCCTGGCCTGTTTGGCTCAGCGGTTAGAGCATCGGCCTGTGATCCAGAGAGACCCGCGTTTGGTTCCCGCTAAGGGCATGTACCTCGGTTGCAGTTTGTCCCCGGCCCTGGTTGGTCGTGTGGGAGGCAGCCACTCGATGTGTCCCTTTCATGTCGATGTTTCTCTCTCCCTCCCTCCCACTCTATCTGAACAAATAATGGAAAAAATGTCCTCGGGTGAGGATTAAAAAAAAAACTCAGTGCCTACAAAATATAGGCATTACGCTGCCACCTCCTACTAAATTCTATTTCAAACTATTGGTATTGTTAACTAGAAGGCCTGTTAAACATTTTTAGTACAATACATGATGTACTTATGTACTTAATATAAGGCCTCCTTTTATTAAATTCACAAACATTCTCATTCAACTCTTCCCAGATATATGAAAATACCTACTGAATCGAGCCACCCAATTGAATAGTTTCCCATTTAAAAAAATTTAAAAGGCAAATAAAGGAATCTGTATAATAGATGACAGTGTATGGTACTCATTTGACTTCTCAGCAAAGGAAGGAATAATATTTCATAAGCTTAAAGGTGATAATAAACTCTGGTTCAGTTTCAGTAAATGGCTCTCATAAATTGGGGGTTAAAAGGTCTGTCTATACATTATGAAAAGATTGGTAGTAAATCAAAACAGCCCAGACCTGTGAGAAGCAGTATCTTAGAGTCCAAACCAACTATACTGTCAAATACATTTGACACAACACTACATATTAAATATCTTTCTCAAAATAATTGAATCTGAATCTGGTCAGCCCTTTAGATATGCTAGTTTGCATAGGGACTAGAAGAACGTGTTAAATGTCACCAATGGGATACAATATGCCAAATACAGAATATGGGAAATTCTATAAGGCAAATGATCCAATTTCTTAAAATAAATGCCAAGCAAAGAAGGAAGAAGAGGGCACTGTTGTAGATTTAAAAGATTTAGGGGCATTACTTGGATTTTGTTTTGAACAAATTATTAAAAGAAGTATACAGCCCAGTCGGTGTGGCTCAGTGGATTGAGCCATCCCATGGACAGAGTTCTCAGTTCGATTCCCAGTCAGGGCACATATCCCGGTTGTGGGCTCAAGCCCCAGTGGTAGGCATGCAGGAGGCAGCTGATCGATGTTTTTCATATCAATGTTTCTATCTCTCCCTCTCTCTCTAAAAGATCAATATAAATTTATTTATTTATTTATTTATTTATTTATTTATTTATTTATTTATTTTTATCCTCACCTGAGGACATTTTTCCATTTTTTTGTTCAGATAGAGTGGGAGGGAGAGAGAGAGAGAAACATTGACGTGAAAGGGACACATCGAGTGGTTGCCACCCTCACTACCGAACCAGGGCTGGGGACAAACTGCAATCGAAGTACGTACCCTTAGTGGGAACCAAACCCGGGTTTCTTGGACCGCAGGTTGAGGCTCTAACCGCTGAGCCAAACCGGCCAGGGCAATATAAACATATTTCAGCCCTGGCCGGTTTGGCTCAGCGGTTGGAGCCTCAGCCTGCAGTCCAGAGAGACCCGGGTTCGGTTCCCGCTAAGGGCATGTACTTCGATTGCAGTTTGTCCCCGGCCCTGGTTCGGTCGTGTGGGTGGCAGCCACTCGATGTGTCCCTTCACGTCAATGTTTCTCTCTCTCTCTCTCTTCCTCTCTCTCCCTCCCGCTGTATCTGAATAAACATATTTCAAAATATATTTTTTAAAAAAGTATACAGACTGGGAAATACAACTGAAATTTCTACTTTAAGTAGAGAGTCATTATTGTAGATTTTACAGGTGAAAATATGTCTGTGATTTTCTTTAAAGTAATCCAATGTGAGTGTAGGAATAAAGTAAATGAAACAAAATTGATCATTTGTTGATAATAATTGAACTGGATGCTGGGTACGTGGAAAGTTTATAATATCTAATTTTTATGGATGTTTGAGATCTTGCATCATAAAAACTATATGTATATTTTCTGTCTTTCATCTTTTAGAGCAATATAAAAATGTTTCCAGCATGCTCAGTGATTTCATACAGAGATTATCTTCATGAAATATTTGGTTGAAACACCTTTCTTGTCTGAATCTGGAACTGAATTACAGAGATTACTGCTGTTACAGAATTTAGTTTCTGATAAAAATTGGACTATCAGAGGAGATTAACTAGACAGTTTGACCTTACAGACTGGCTTTTTCAGTCAGGGACCAGTCAGGAAAAATTACACCAGTTGTTTTAATTTTTTTTTTTTTTGGTACGTGCCCCTAGCGGGAACTGAACCTGGAACTCTCTGGTCCGCAGGCCAATACTCCAACTGCTGAGCCAAGCCGGCCAGGGCTATACCAGTTGTTTTAAAAGAAAATTTAATATAAGGGCATTGTTAAACAGAGGTTGGAGAACTATGGTAATAAAAAATGGATAGTAGGTACCAGATGGGAGGAGGGTGTCAGTGGGGGAAAAAAGGAGGGATGTCTGTAATACTTTCAACAATAAAGATGAATTAAAAAAGAAGTAGGGCCTGGCAGGTGTGGATCACTAGTTGAGCATCGACCCATGCACCAAAGGGTCGCCAGTTTGATTCTCGGTCAGGGCACATGCCCAGGTTGTGGGCCCAATCCCCAGTGGGGGGTATGCAGGAGGCAACCAGTCAGTGTTCTCTTTCATTGATGTTTCTCTCTCTCTCTCTCTCCCCCTCCCTCCCTCCCTCCCTCTCCATCCTTCTCTCTCTAAAATCAATAAAGAAAAAAAAAGAAGTCGGTACCACCTCATGTTCCCAAGACTACTGATAGGTTCAATGATTTGCTAAGAGGATTTACAGGATTCAACATATAGTTGTACTCAGCTATGATTTTTACAGTAAGAGGAAACAAAGCAAATTTAATAAAGGGAAAAGGAACATATGGATGTCTGGGGGAAAATAGGTGCAAACTTCAAGCGTCCTTACCCAATGAAGTCCTAGAATCATACAGGACATGCTTAATTCTGCTGACAGATTCTAACATGTGTGAAATGTGGCTGACCAGAGACTGTTGCCAACATTAGAGACTCTATACTCTGTTTTTATTTGGGGCTGACCACATAGGCACTCTTTATGTGACACGTACCCAAATTTTAAACTCCACAAGGAAAGCTGATATTCAGCATAAAACCATATTGCTTGCACAGTTCAGGCATAGTGAGATAGTCTTATCGGTTCTGGGGATGGTAGGGATTCTCCTGAAATCCAAGTTCCAAAATGCTAGCCAAGAGCCAACCTTGTAACCAGGTCTTTCGAAGGATAGCAGGTAGGCCTGACTCTTTCCTGCACATTCCCCTAGCACCGGGGAAACAAGAAGTTGGGATTATTAG